AACACATCCCCCCCAAGACGTCTGAAAGGAATTCCCCAGATTCCTGCGAGACAATGACCAACACAAAGCAGGGGGGGGGTTCTCTCCGTCTCATACCTTGCTGCATATGTGGAAGCAATCGAGGGATCTGTCCAATCATTCCACTGCGCTGCGCTACCAAGTAGCTTGCAATCATTTGAAGTCAAATGTTTCCGCGATCTGCTTATCGATTGTTAAGCAAATGGTTGATGCACGACACGACAGTCGCCAACACAGCGATAGCACAAATCCAACGATCGCTCCAAAACTTAGTAGCTTTCCCCTGAAACGCTCGTTCCTGCAACAGCCCCACAGTCAGAGTGTTAAACCACAGAAAGGATTCTTGGGGATTCGTGGCCATCAGTGGACACAGCATATGGAGATCTGTTGATCAGCAGGCTTGCGATGATAATGGATGACAAAACCACCCACTTCAGCACGGGCTTGTTGAACAACTTATCCCAGGGCCAGGGCATATGCTGATACCCTTTGCTGCGACAAATAGACACCCATCTTCCTCCCTCCGTCCCACGTGTAAATAAAACACCATAACTCTACGATACAGTGTTGATTGTATAATGTACTGGGGTTAGATATAAATGTTTTAGGTGTTTAGATAATTTATATTTATTTTTACACACAGTTTAAGGAATTTTTAATAGATTTAACTGTATTTGTATTTTCTTGTAATTGTAGGTAGCTTTTCTAGTACTAATTCTGGATGCGAGTATTTCAATTGTCCATGCGGGATGTCATAAGAATTTTTGACTTGACTACGTTGCTCAAATTGCATTACAAAATGACAGGTTTACATTGGACAATCAGAATGAGTGCAGAATCTATTCAGCAGTGTGATGTTGGCATGGACTTAATACAGACGAGCAATTCTCACATGGTACACGCTGTGGCTTTCAACTTGTGACCCGCTGCACTTGTGATATGGTGGCAGAATGTGTGACGTAATAGTACCACTTTATTTTTCCCCGACGTTGATGCAGCAATGCCATTGGCCCTCTCATTGGACTATACCTTATCTACCAAGAAGGCAGAATCAGTGTAGACAAGCCGTCGCCAGCATGGATCCTCGTGTACGGCGGTGTGGGCATTGCAGTCGGTCTTGCCTTACTGGGAAGGAGGGTGATCAAAACCATTGGTAGTGATCTAACCCCTATAACTCCATCGACGTAAGTGTTTCTGCCTCCTTGAATTGTCACCTTACTTCTGTTTTAAGAGTAATTTCACGTAAATACAAGATGTGTCCACCGTTAAAACATTATTTTTTTCATACTTTTTGGGATGAAAGGACTTGGGATGCAAGTAAACGAAAGAGACTTTTCAAATCCATACGTAGTCTGTTACCACGGAAACAGCTCGTTTTTTGCATTTTAGGCCGACTTAGGGCTCTGAAGAAACTGGTTTTAGCTTGTATTTAAAAGTCCACCTAACCAAAATGCAACACTATTTCACAAATCTACTTAAAGTATCATCCTTGCCTCTGCCTGAAACAAAAAACGATCGCTTTAAGTGTCACCCTTAAGCTCTTTGAACAGTTTGCATTGAAGTATGTTTTTAAAACTTGCAAAATTAACACTTTTTACCCAATTTTTGCCCTCGGGGCTCACTTTGGAAGCCAAGATGATTTTTGACCATTAGGAGACTTTTTCTCAACAGATTTCTGCAAATTGGTTTGTATGCTCTCTACTGGAGGATAACAATATTGACAATGGGTGGCAGGCAGGTGACAAAGAGACTGTGAGAAGGCTATGGTACATGGGGCAAGTTGTAAAGTGTACTTTTGCAACAGGGGTCACTCATGTACCAATGCAAAAGTCATTGTAAAGACAACCTTAGAACTCAGTAGGACAAATCATGGGCTATATAGGGCTCGGTGCGATACAAGATGTAATACCATGCATTTATTACTCCACAGAAATGAAAACAATGCCAAAATCACAAAAGCGTACCTTTCAGTAATATTGACTCAAACTTAGGGGAAAACCTCAAAATGTAAATTTCTATTTTGTGGAAAAAAGACCATATTTGAGGCAATACTGTCCCAACAGCATACAAATACCCAAGATTTTCTCACAACATATAAAAAGAACAATGTTGGCCTTAATCACAACCGAACGGAAAATATTCTGAGACCCCTGCAAGCTGACGTTTTGAGGGCAAATATACGGAAAATATTTCAATTTTGCAAATTCTAAAAACAAACTTCAACGCAAGCTGTTAAAAGAGCATAAGAGTGACACTTAAAGTGATAATTGTTTTGTCTCAAGAAGGATGATACTTTCAGTGGATTTGTGAGATATTGTTGCATTTTGGCTAGGTGGATTTTTGAATATAAACTAAAAACCAGGGTTTTTTAAGAGCCCTCGGTCGGCCTAAAATGCCAAAACACAAAATAGACTGTTTCCATGGTAACGGGCTACGTATGGATTTGAAAAGTCTATTTGCACCGTTTACTGTTTACTTGCACCGCAGTTATGTAAAAAAAATTGACCGTAGACACATATGTCTGGTATTTATGTGAATGACTCTTAAGGGTTCTGAGGGCCGTTTGGTCTTTATTTTAATGAAGAGTTTGCATAGTCATGAGCTTTGGCACAGAAGAGTGACAGAAGCTTCAATGTGCCACGCTGCTTCTGTGACCAATATAACCTGCATTGGGGTCGCTATGCAGCAGTCGACGTAGTCTGCCTAACCGTCTTCAGTAAACCTTATTTTTCCCCCTTCTTCAAACAAAAAACTTCATCTGTAATGTGCCCCACAATTGTATCATCGCAAAAACATTTGTCTCCACTTATCAAATGTTAAAAAAGGTGCACTTAAGTGGGGTGGTCTATTCATTTCCATATCCAGGAAGTGCACAATATCTGTGAATTCCAGCGTTCATTTCTTGTCTTTGTTGTCATGCATACAGCGGCTTTGCGATCAACCTGGGTGCAGCAATGACCGTCTTGATCGCCTCCAACCTCAGCATACCGGTCAGCACCACGCATTGCTTGGTGGGCTCAGTGGCCTTTGTGGGTTTCCTCCGGGCCCGGAAAGCTATGGATCTGAAGCTATTCACGGGCATCGTCAGCGCCTGGATCATCACCCTCCCGGCCACCGTACTCCTCTCGGCCGCCTTCATGGGACTCATCCAGCACGCGGTGCCCGGCGGATGCGACATACAGCAGATGCAATATCCCCCACCCAACAGCACAGAGATTTACTCAACTGTTGAAATGAGGACTGCTTGAGGAGGTTTGTTAACAGCACCTTGCCCATCTGACCAACTCAGCAATATGCAGGGCTATTGGACCTTGATGGCAGACAGTGTGTGCAAAATGCAGCCTGAACATAGCCTCCATGTTGTTCACTCGATGTTTTCAGTGAGAATCACTCGATATAAAGTCTGCGAACCACAGTATATCGATGTCTGTCTTGCATGTGATGTGGGATCAGCTCTTTCAAATGTCCCCACACCGACATTAGGGTTTAATAATTAGGCCATTAAGGTAACAAGGAAAGACATTAATCAGCAAATTGCAGGTCAACCGGAACAATTTTAGAACCTTCCCCTTAGCAAGAGTGAAGATCTGTGTCAACCACTAGTCGATGGTTCCCAAGTGTATTTTGAATAACAATTCCCAGGGAAAATAATTCACCAGCGATTTACAAAATGGTTGTCTCTCGAACTGTAGGTATTGAATTTCGCCATAGCGTCATATGCAGTTAGCAGGTTGTCACTGACACGTCACATTGTAACACAGCAAGGGTACAGGACTTCACAACAGTCATATCCAACTGAATGGTTTCATGCAAAAAAAATCTACTGTTGTGCGTAAAGGTGAAAAAATAAGTTGTGACCACGGATCTACGTTTATTTAAGGTTTAAGCCGTCTGACTCAAGCACCTCCATCAAACTTGAGGTTGATATTTAGCGGGCAAGCGAGCTTCGTAAGCCTGCACGAGAATATCAGTCTTAAAAGTAGATGCAATGATGACCATACGTCTCTAGTTTTGCTGCATGAGACAGGCAACTGGGCTGGATCTTTGCGATGCAATTAATTACAAAATCCTTGTTTAATTATTGTATAAGTAAATGTACATTTGCTACAAAACAAAACCAGAAACTACTATAAGCACAAACCAAGAGATTAGTGAAAATTTATTTCCAGCGTCATGGGCGTAAGGTATATTTGTACACAAATTAAACACTATTGTAAATGTATTTTGTAAATGTATCAAAACAAGGCCTTTTGTCTAGAGATCATTCAAGAGAATAAGGGCTCAGCATAAAATTCAACATTAAAGAAAAAGAGCCCAAAGTTACTCGGGGTTCCCCTTTGTAATCTCTAACCCTTTTGGGGTTGTTCGTGGGTACACTATGGAAGCAGTCTGTTGTTGTTTTTTTCAGGAAGAGGTGTCAGTTCTGAGGGCAGTTATGGGCTTGTTGGTTTTTTCGTGGCTCTCGTCACCGGCCCTTCTAACAACAAACAAGTCTTCCTAAAATAGAATGCTTCCATGGTGTACCCACAACAACATCGTTGTGTATGTTTAAATACGAACGCTTAACTTTTCTCACCCGAAATGTTTTGACAACGACAACTGTAGGCCTAAAGACTTATTCATCAGATAGGATGTGTGTATCTGCGTTATAATATGGTACCGTACATAAATCTTGTTTTTACATTGGCGACTTCTTTTCAAAGCTTGTTAAAAAAACAATTTTTGGCCTATAAACTCGGACTGTAGAATACCATAAAACGGAACCTATTTGGGGAAGTTATAATGCACTGGATCAATGCAAATTAAATGGTTACACAGTTACTGCTCATGTCATGCTTGAAATCTTTTGTTCAGGAAATAAGTTATTTAATAAAAATTAAGCTAGGCCTAACCATATCTAAATAAAAATGATGTAAAATTCAATATTTTTGTCCTTTCATTGTGGAAAATAAAGCCATCTACCTCTATTGCAGGCATGCATGGTTGTATTCCTAGAGCCATATTTTTTGGGAGGAGGCCTAGACCCTTCGCACGTGACGTCACCTACTAACTTTCGCTACTGCTCTTTGATAATGGACTATTCATTTAATTTAAAAATCTAACGCGGAATTGCCAAGCCAATAATTCCCTGCCTTTTTCTTTTTATTTGGTATTTTTTTCATTTAATTGGGGGGGGCGAGACGAAAGCTATAGGGGCTGGAACCCCAACCCCCCTCCCCCAGAACCGCGCATGCTCTGTTGTTCTTTACCTTTGTGCAATTCCATTAGTCACAGTGTGTCTCCAGTGGCGTGTCTGAGGACAGGGAGATGATTTCTCTCCAAGGAAGTTAGGCAATTTTTTTAAAGTTAAACGAAAGCGCTAGCACTCCAAAACGGAGTGCTATACTTTCCCTCGTGTGGAAGGAAAGTATTCATTTACGGATGAAGCAAATTGACGACGGTCTAAGAAAAATCTCCACTTCTGCCTTCCATCTGGCTCAAAACAAGAGCACGCCGCTTTGCCTTTCCAAAAGTATTTAGCCATATCATGGGTTTAAAAAATACACCAAAAGCACCGACTTTTTCTGGCACTTTACTTCCAGCACCATTGAATTCCCAAAAGTCAAAAAGGCAGAGGCAAAATAGTTGTATCGTGTTTTGAAGCCTAGGGGCTCCGAAAAGCAAATGAACTGCTGCTTGAACATAAGATGTGTACATTTCAAAATTCCGAATGCCTCTGAATTGAACCCTCCT